CCAACTTGGTGGAACCCTGTCTCTACTAAAAATACAAAAATTAGCTGGGTGTGGTGTCAGGCACCTGTAATCCCAGCTACTTGGGAGGCTGAGGCAGGAGAATGGCTTGAACCTGGGAGGTGGAGGCTGCAGTGAGCCGAGATCAGGCCATTGCACTCCAGCCTGGGCAACAGCATGAAATCCATCTTAAAGGGGGGAAAAAAGACACCGAGTTTGGGGTGGCTTTGTATACAGCATTATTGCAGCAATAGCTAACTGTCACATTGCCTGACCCCAGAGCTATGCTCTTGAACACCGCTATATTGTTCTTTTTTTTTTTTTTTTTTGAGGCGGAGTTTCGCTCTTGTTACCCAGGCTGGAGTGCAGTGGCGCGATCTCGGCTCACTGCAACCTCTGCCTCCTGGGTTCAGGCAATTCTCCTGCCTCAGCCTCCTGAGTAGCTGGGATTACAGGCACGTGCCACCATGCCCAGCTAATTTTTTGTATTTTTTTTAGTAGAGACGGGGTTTCACCATGTTGACCAGGATGGTCTCGATCTCCTGACCTCGTGATCCACCCGCCTCGGCCTCCCAAAGTGCTGGGATTACAGGCTTGAGCCACCGCGCCCGGCCCTTTTTTTTTTTAATGTTTATTTTTTGGTGCCGTGACTCAGATTTGAACCGAAGTTGCTGTGGGCACAATGCAGAGTACTAACTACTATATGGTCACAGCCTATATTGTCCATTTAAAGGGGAATAAAAGAAAATTAAAAAAGAAGAAAATAAACTTAAAGTTGGGGGCAGGCACAGTGGCTCATACCTGTAATACCAGCAGTTTGGGTGGCCGAGTTGGGCTGATCACTTGAGGTCAGGAGTTTGAGACCAGCCTGGCCAACATGGTGAAACTCTACCTCTACTAAAAATACAAAAATTAGCTGGGCAGAGTGAGACTCCATCTCAAAAATAAATAAATAAATAAATAAATAATAAAAATAATAGCTGGGCGTGGTGGTGCATGCCTTTAATGCCAGCTACTTGGGAGACTGAGGCAGAAGAATTGCTTAAACCCGGGAGGCAGAGGTTGCAGTGAGCCAAGATCATGCCATTGCACTCCAGCCTGGGCAACAAGAGCGAAACTCCATCTAAAATAAAAAATAAAATAAAAATAAAAGTAAAAAACAAATAAAAAATAATTTTGAAAATGATAAAATTTAAAGGGGTGAGTGACATTAGATGTATCTCCTCTACCTTCTGGGCCCCCAGGCCTGATTCTAAGACTAACAAGGGAGGAAGTTAGGAGATCAATGTTCTCAAAAGACCCAGATAATTGCCAACCCACTGAATTCTAGGAAGGGAGGGTCTGGGTCTTGGTCAATAAAGTGAGTAGAGTAGAATTTGTCCCTTAGGGGGACACACTAAAATCCTTTTTTTTTTTTTTTCCTGAGACAAGGTATTGCTCTATCACCCAGGCTGGAAAGCAGTGACACAATCATGCTCCCTGCAGCCTCCAACTCCTGTGCTCAACCAATTCTCCCACCTCAGCCTTCTGAGTAGCTGGGACTAGAGACAAGCTCCACCATACGCAGCTAATTTTGGTATTTTTTGTAGACATGGGGTCTTGCTGTGTTGCTCAGGATGGTCTCAAACCTCTGGGCTCAAGATATCTGTTCACCTCAACCTCCCAACGTGCTGGGATTACAGATGTGAGCCACTGTGCTCAATCCCAAATCCATTTTTGTTTTTCCCTCCTTCCATGGAAAAGTGAAAGTAAGCACACAGCTGACTATCACCTGTGTGACTGTGGCTGGACCACCTCCATTCTCTCTCTTTTTTTTTTTTTAAAGATGGGGTTTCACAATGATGGCCAGGCTGGTCTTGAACTCCTGACCTCAGGTGATCCACCCACCTCGGTCTCTCAAAGTGCTAGGATTACAGGCATGAGCCACTGTGCCCAGCAGTTCCACTCTTTTTCATCTGCAAAATAGTAATGACAGCCCAGCATGGTGGCTCAAGCCAGTAATCTCAGCACTTTGGGAGGCCAAGGCAGGTGGATCACCTGAGGCCAGGACGAAAAACCATCTCTACTAAAAAAAAAACAAAAAACAAAAATTAGCCAGGCCTAGTGGTGCGTGTCTGTAGTCCCAGCAACTCGGGAGGCTAAAGCAGGAAAATCGCTTGAACCTGTGGGGTGGAGGTTGCAATAAACGGAGATCAGGCCACTGCACTCCAGCCTGAACAACCGAGTAAGACTACGTCACCAAAAAAATTTAAAAAAAGGTAGGCCAGGCATGTTGGTTCATGCCTGTAATCCCAGCACTTTGGGAGGCCAAGACAGGTGGTTCACCCGAGGTCAGGAGTTTGAGACCAGCCTGGCCAACATGGTGAAAACGCATCTCTACTAAAAATGCAAAAATTGGCCAAGTGTGGTGGTGGGCATGGGTAATCCCAGCTACTAGGGAGGCTGAGGCAGGAGAATTGCTTGAACCCAGGAGCGGAGGTTGCAATGAGCCAAGATGGTGCCATTGCACTCCAGCCCAGACAACAAGAGCGAGATGCCCTCTCAAAAAAAAAAAAAGAAAAAAAGTAGGCTGGGTGGTGGATCACACCTGTAAACCCAGCACTTTGGGAGGCCGAGGAGGTGGGCAGATCATCTGAGGTCAGTAGTTGGAGACCAGCTTTACCAACATAGTGAAACCCTGTCTTCACTAAAAATTCAAAATTAGCCAGATATTGTGGCTCATGCTTGTAATCCCAGCTACTTAGGAGGCTGAGGCAGGAGAATTGCTTGAAGCCGGGAGGCAGAGGTTGCAGTGAGCCAAGATCGCACCATTGCACTCCAGCTTGGGCAACAAGAGGGAAACTCCGTCTCAAAAAAAAAAAAAGAGTTAATGATAATCATACCCATTTGAAGAAGAAGTAAGTTAATAATGCAAGATCATGGTATAGATACACAGCAAGCCCTCGATCCATGTTGCTTGCTATCATCATCTTTCCCTCACCTATCTCAGCAAATTCATGTGCCTGATCTGGAGTGAGACAGAAATGAGTTCAAGTCCCGCTTTATTCTTGCTGTATCTTTAACCGAGTATCTTTAACTTGGCCTCTTTGTGCCTCAGTTTCCCTCCCTGTTAAACAGTGGTTACAACTGTTTTCTTCAGTGGAGGACACTTAGGGATGGGGAGGCCCTTCGCACTCCTGAGCACTCTGCCAGGCCGAGGATCAGCTCTGGCCATTATGTGATTGAATGAGAAGGAAGAAAGCAGGTAGTGGGGGAGAGCCGGGAAGGAGGCCCCCCACAAAGGCTGGGGGGGCTCTGGGTTGCGGTGGCATCAGAGGCTTTAACCCTTCCCAGGCCCCGCCTCTCCCTGAGGTCCAGACACCGCGCCCAAGGAGGGGGCCTGGGAAGGACAAGGCTGAAGGTAAGACCCACGCGTTGCGCGGAGGCTGGGCCGGGTGGGGCTTGGGGCCTTGTCCTCCCCTCGACCCTCTGCCTCCCTCCACCTGAGGAGACCCGGGGCTCCGGCCATGCCCGGCGCGCGCGGAGGAGGGATGCTCGGCAGGTGGGGACATGCTGGGGGAGGGGCTGTCGACCCCCTCTCCGCTCACCTGGGCCGGCGGCCGCTGGCGCCGCTGTCCCCGCTGCTCGCCGCGCCCGACAGCCCTCCCTGTCGGCGTCCACGGCCCGACCTGGCCCGGCTCGGCCCGGCCCAGCCCGGCTCAGCTCGGCCCTGCCGGCCCGCGGCTCTGCCAGATCCGCATGCGCCGCCGCGCCTCCCTCGCTCGCGCCGCCGCCGCGTTCCGCGCGCCCCCGGGACCCCCTCCCGCCCGCGGTCCCCGCGCCCAGCCTCCTGAGGCCCACGCGCAGTCACACCCGGCCGCGGCGTGGGGCGCACGGCTGCACGGGCACGGCGGCGTCACGCGCTGCACACTCCCACGGGGTCACGCTCGCCACGCTGCCACACTCACGGGGGCGTCGGCGCAGAAACTCACCCCCGCATCCACGCGCTCGCCCACCGTCACTCCCTCCTGTGGGGTCCCACGGGGTCACACCCTCACGCTGTCACACGCGGCGTCCACACTGGAACAGTGTCACCCACCACCACATACTCCAATAGTCACCACCACCCACGCGGCGTCACACACAAACGCACCTGTCACACACAACCGCACATTCCCCGGCAATCACCAGCAGTGTCATAGGCCCACAAATCGCGCCCAGTGTCACAGCCACAGTGTCACACACTCTACACACTCGAATCTGCACCGCCGCACCGCACACATCACAGTCGCAGGGGGTCGCAAACAGCAGCACAACAGACACCCACAGCCACACACACGAATGGGGCCCCAGTGTCACACATCCTCACATGAGACATGTGGCGTCACACACTGTCACGGTCTAATAGTCGCACGCTTCCATGTAAGACACCTCACCCTACCGCACAGGCTGACACAGTGTCACCCACCGTGTCACCACAAGGTCACAAAAGAACAGAATCAATGCCTGCCACACGTGGTGTCATGCACGTGTAGTAGCACTGTAACATGGGATCACACACGGAGAATGACACGAGGTGTTGCCACAGTCATGCTTGCCCTCCTAGTCACTGAGTCACACAGGTCATACAAGTGCATAGATACGCAGTGACACAGTGCCTTACAAGCAAGTGCACACACGCACTCGGTCCTCCCTCACTTTCTCCCCTTGCTGGTTCTGAGAGGCCCTGCGGCTTAGCGTGCGCCCAAGATCCCTCCTGGAGCCGGGAGAGGGGGCGGGAGCTACGAGAGCCCGTGGGCGTGGCTCGCCTTGCCCCGCCCCTCCTGGGAGGTAGAGCACGGAGGCAGGGCGCTGAGCGACGTTATCCCGGCTCCGCCCACTCTATTTGTGGCTACGTGGAGGCGTGGCCTTCTGTGGCCCCGCCTCCCAGTCTAAGTGGCGGGCAGAGAGGGCGGTGCTGGGCGATGAGCGAATGCAAACTGACTCGTCCCGCCCACCCGCGTTAGGCTCCGCCCCTCAGCCTCAACCGCGGGCGGAGCGAGGCTGAGGAGTGGCCCTGAGAGCCAGCTCCGCCCCGTTGTTCCTGCCTGAGTAGGAAGGAACAACGCAGAGAGCGCCGCCCACCAGCCAGTCGGTTCCCGCGCGTGCCGAGACTCTGAGGCCTTGCACCCCCCACGACCCCGCAGGATGGCCGTCAAGAAGATCGCGATCTTCGGCGCCACTGGCCAGACCGGGCTCACCACTCTGGCGCAGGCGGTGCAAGCAGGCATGAGCTGGGGCGGGCGGGGCATGTCAGGGGAAAGACGGGCAGAGCTTTAAAAAGGGGCACCATGCGGCCGGGCCGAGGCCGGCTGGAGCCTTGAGCGCCCCAGCCAGGTGAGGACTCAGTGGCCAAAGCATGTGGCCACGGGGGCAGAAATGGGGAAGGTTGTGGGATCCAAGTTTATGTGAGTTCAAGGTAGAGAGGAATGGACCATGGGAGCCCTGGGAGGAATCCAGAGGCACAGTGTGTGTATATAAGTCCAGGGTTCTTATGCAATGCCGTTGTCATTATTGTGGTCAAGGTGGTGTTTGTTCGCAAGCCAGTCTTGCTCTGTCGTCTCTTCACATGGGAGCTCTCAAAATGGAATGGGAATTTGTGTTACCCCACTTGACAGATGAGAAGACTGAGGCCCAGAGAGTGACTTGCCCAATATCACACAGCTGGTAACTGACAGAGCTGGGATTTGAACACAGCTCATGCTCTTAATCACGAGTCCTCAGGCTCTCGGCTGGTGCACGGAGCTGCAAAATGAAAAAGTTGGGGGCTCAGATTGCTGTGAGTACCTAATGGGAAGGAGTCACAGAGAGACGTGAGTGAAGACCTGAGGACAGGAGTCCTGGGAAAGCCATTGAGGGCTGAAAATTTGGAGTTGCCCCAGGAGAGAGGGCAGGAAAGGAGATAACCATCTCCCAGCACCCCCTGCCCCCACAGCCCAGACTTGACCAACTCCCAGCTGGGCCTGGGACTTCCAGATATGGGGCCCCACCCCAGCAGGCCTTGGTGACTCTAAAGATATTGACTATCTGCATGCCCCAAAAGGGTGGAGGCCGCCAGGACCCCACTCTGCTGCCTCCCTTGGAGGGAATCTGAAAGTTCTTCACTAGGCCCATCCATACCTCTTCCCTTCCCCAGGGAGACCACGTGAGGATCGTGACTGGTGGAGAGTGGGGAGCTGTGGGCCTCAGTAAAAACCAATTTGCTGATAAGCATTTATTGGGGAGTACTGGAGAAGGAAGTAAGAGAGAGAAGTTGAGAGGTGCTGAGTCACCTGGAAAAACCACTGAATTCCATTGAATTCCACTCACCCACCCTGCTGGTCATAGCTGGGACTGCACTCAGGGGAACTGAAAACTGGAGCCCAGGGAGCTTCAAAGCTGTGGTGCTGAAAAATCTCTTCCCAGCTCTCAGCTTTGCTGTCCCCAATAGCCAAAGGAAGGGCAGGCCAGGCACAGTGGCTCATGCCTGTAATCCCAGCACTTTGGGAGGCCAAGGCGGGAGGATAGCTTGAGGCCAGGAGTTTCAGACTAGCCTGGGCAACAGAGCAAGATCCCATCTCTACAAAAATATAAAAAATAAAAATAAATTAGCTGGGCGTGGTGATGCATGCCTGTAGTCCCAGCTACTCAGAAGGCTGAAGTGAGAGTATCGCTTGAGCTCAGGAGCCAAAGGCTACAGTGAGCTGTGTTTGTGCCACTGCACTCCAGCCTGGGTGACCCAGTGAGACCCTGTATCTAAAATGAAAAAAAAAAAAAAAAAAAAAAAAAGATTACAGGCTCACGCCTGTAATCCCAACACTTTAGGGGGCCAAGGCAGGTGGATCACCTGAGGTCAGAAGTTTGCGACCAGCCTGGCCAACATGGTGAAACTCCATCTCTACTAAAAATACAAAAATTAGCTGGGCGTTGTGGCACACACCTGTAGTCCCAGCTACCTGGGAGGCTGAGGCACAAGAATCGCTTGAACTCGGGAGGCAGAGGTTGCAGAGAGCCAAGATCCTGCCACTGCACCATTGAACTCCAGCCTGGGTGACAGAGAAAGATAGAAAGAGAGAGAGAGAGAGAGAGAAGGAAGCGAAAGAAAAGAAAGAGGAAAGAAAGGGGGCCAAGCACGGTGGCTCACATCTGTAATCCCAGCACTTTGGGAGGCCAAGGCGGGCGGATCACGAGGTCAAGAGATCGAGACCATCCTGGTCAACATGGTGAAACCCCGTCTCTACTAAAAATATAAAAAATTAGCTGGGCATGGTGGCTTGTGCCTGTAATCCCAGCTACTCAGGAGGCTGAGGCAGGAGAATTGCCTGAACCCAGGAGGCGGAGGTTGCGGTGAGCCGAGATCGCGCCATTGCACTCCAGCCTGGGTAACAAGAGTGAAACTCCGTCTCAAAAAAAAAAAGGAAAAGAAAGGGCTTGGAATAACGAGTTCACAATGGTTCTGTAGGGCCAAGAGTCTTGACAGGCATGAACTCTGGAGCCAGCCTTCCCGCATTCAAGCTTACAGCCTGTGTGGCCAAATGCCTTGTCATCTGTGTACCCAAATATGTGTAAGGTGGAGACGAAACTGGTAGTGCTTGCCCTAGGGCTCTTGTGATAATTAAATGAGATATTATATAGGAAGTACTTAGACTAGCGTTGAATTTTGCAGTCTCTGGATCAGACTCAGGTAAAAATTCAACCTTCTCTACCTACTAGCTGTGTGATCCTGGCCCAGTTGCCTAAAATTGCCTCAGTTTCCCCATCAATGTGGACAGGACAAGGCCAGGCATGGTGGCTCATGCCTATAATCCCAGCATTTTGGGAGGCCCAGGTGGGCAAATCACCTGAGGTCAGGAGTTCAAGACCAGCCTGACCAACATGGTGAAACCTTGTCTCTACTAAAAATACAAAAATTAGCCAAGCATGATGGCACACACCTGTAATCCCAGCGACTTGGGAGGCTGAGGCAGGAGAATCGCTTGAACCTGGAAGGCAGAGGTTGCAGTGAGCAGAGATCGTGCCACTGCACTCCAGCCTGAGCAAGAGAGTGACTCTGTCTCAAAAAAAAAAAAAAAAGCCAGGTGTGGTGGCTCACGCCTGTAATCCCAGCAATTTGGGAGGCCGAGGCAGGTGGATCACCTGAGGTCAGGCGTTTGAGCCTAGCCTGACCAACATGGAGAAACCCCACCTCTACTAAAAACACAAAAATTAGCCAGGCATGGTGGCAGGCAGTTGTAATTCCAGCTACTTGGAAGGCTGAGTCAGGAGAATCACTTGAACCTGGGAGGCGGAGTTTGCTGTGAGATCACGCCATTGCACTCCAGCCTGGGCGACAAGAGTGAAATGCCATCTCAAAAAAAAAAAGGGGGGGGGGGGCCAGGGAGATGGCAGTAAATATGACACAGTCCCTAAACCCACAGGGTGCTTGGTTTGCTGCAGGTCAGCATAAGGAGGGCCGTGACAGAGGAAGTACAAGTGACTGGGGGGGACCGGGTAAAGAGGGTGAAGGGTGTTCCTGGCAGAGGGGACAGCATGTGCAAAGGCCAGGAGGCAGGAAGCAGCACCATGCATTTGAGGAACTGAAGGAAGTGCAGTGGGGGCTGGGCGCAGTGGTTCACACCTGTAATCCCAGTACTTTTGGAGGCTGAGGCAGGTGGATCACCTGACGTCAGGAGTTAGAGACCAGCCTGGTCAATGTGCTGAAACTTCATCTCTACTAAAAAAATACCAAAAAAATTAGCCGGCCATGGTTGCAGGTGTCTGTAGTCCCAGCTACTCGGGAAACTGAGGCAGGAGAATCACTTGAACCCAGGAGGTGGAGGTTGCAGTGAGCCACGATGGTGCCTCTGCAGTCCAGCTGGGCAACAGAGTGAGACTCTGTCTCAAAAAAAAAAACTAAAAAGAAGTGCCGTGGGTGAAGAGGGCAAAGGCTTCAGCAGAGGCTGGAGAGGGGAAGCCAGATCCCAAGGGTCCTGGAAGGCTGGCATGAGAAGCATGAGTTTTATCACAGGGCATTTCAGGATTTCAGGAGGCACCTGAGCAGGGAAGCACTTAAATATCACTGCGGAAAGCTCTGGGTGGCTGCTGTGTGGAATGTGGATTGGAGAGGGCAGGACTGGGTCCAGGAGCCCAGGGAGGACCCAGGAAAGGGGCCAAGGAGACTCAGGACTCCACCAAGCCAGGAGATAAGGTCACAAAATGATTAAAGGGCATAAAAGACTGGGCTCAGTGGCTCATGCCTGTAATCCCAGCACTATAGAAGGCCATGACAGGCAGATTACTTGATCCCAGGAGTTCAAGACCAGCCTGGCCAACATGGCAAAACCCCGTTTCTTTTTTAAATTTTTTATCATATCTCTTTGGGGGTTTTGTGTGGTTTTTTGTTTTGTTTTTGAGATGGAGTTTCGCTCTTGTTGCCCAGGCTGGAGTGCAATGACATGATCTTGGCTCACTGCAATCTCTGCCTCCCGGGTTTAAGCAATTCTCCTACCTCAGCCTCCCACGTAGCTGGGATTACAGTTGCCTGCCACCATGCCTGGCTAATTTTTTGTATTTTTAGTAGAGACAGGATTTTACCACATTGGCCAGGCTGGTCTCAAACTCCAGACCTCAAGTGATCCACCCACCTCGGCCTCCCAAAGTGCTGGGATTACAGGCATGAGCCACTGTGCCCAGCCTATTTTGTTTTGTTTTAAGACAGAGTCTTGCTCTGTCTCCCTGGCTTAAGTGCAGTGATGTGATCTCGGCTCACTGTATCCTCTGCCTCCCAGGCTCAAGCAATTCTCATGCCTCAGCCTCCTGAGTAGCTGGAATTACAGTGTGCACCACCACACGCGGCTAATTTTGGTTTTTTTTTTTTTTTTTTTTTTTTTAGACGGAGTTTCGCTCTTGTTACCCAGGCTGGAGTGCAATGGCGCGATCTCGGCTCACCGCAACCTCCGCCTCCTGGGTTCAGGCAATTCTCCTGCCTCAACCTCCTGAGTAGCTGGGATTACAGGCATGCGCCACCACGCCCAGCTAATTTTCAGTATTTTTAGTAGAGACGGAGTTTCACCATGTTGACCAGGATGGTCTCGATCTCTTGACCTTGTGATCCACCCGCCTCGGCCTCCCAAAGTGCTGGGATTACAGGCGTGAGCCACCGCGCCCGGCTAATTTTGGTATTTTTAGTAGAGATGGTGTTTCACCATATTGCCCAGGCTGGCTGGTCTCGAACTCCTGGCCTTAAGTGATCTGCCCACTTCAGCCTCCTAAAGTGCTGGGATTACAGGCATGAGCCACACTACACCTGGCCTTATTGTATCTTTATATTTCCCTAGACTGCTCAGTAGAATGAAATCCTAACTCTATAAAATAAAAGAATAAAACAGCATAATAATGGCAAACAACCAGGTAGCTTTTTTTTTTTTTTTTTTTTTTTTTTTGAGATGGAGCCTTGATCTGTTACCCAGGCTGAAGTGCACTGGTACAATCTCAGCTCACTGCAACCTCCACCTCCCAGGTTCAAGTGATTCTCTTGCGCCAGCCTCCCAAGTAGCTGGGATTATAGGTATGTGTCATTATACCCGGCTAATTTTGTATTTTTAGCAGAGATGAGGTTTCATCATGTTGTCCAGGCCGGTCCTAACTCCTGACCTCAGGTGATCTTCCCGCCTCAGCCTCCGAAAGTGCTGGGATTACAGGTGTGAGCTACCTCGCCTGGCCAAGGTGTGGTCTATTTTAACAATGAGCCCAATACTAAACATCAATTGTAGGTATGCCAGCAAAAATGTTTGAAGGCCAAGGCACAGTGGCTCATGGGAAGGCTGAGGCAGGCAGATCACCTGAGCCCAGGAGTTCAAGACCAGCCTGGGCAACATGACAAAACCCCTTCTCTACAAAAAAAATTGCAAAATTAACTGGGCATGGTGGTGCACACTGTAGTCCCAGCTCCTTGGGGTGCTGAGATGGGAGGATCAATTGAACCCAGGAGGTCGAGGCTGCAGTGAGCTGTGACTGCGCCACTGCACTCCAGCCTGGGCAAGAGAGGGAGACCCTGTCTCAAAAACAAAAAACAAAAAATGTGCCGGGCGCGGTGGCTTAAGCCTGTAATCCCAGCACTTTGGGAGGCCGAGGTGGGTGGATCACGAGGTCAAGAGATCGAGACCATCCTGGTCAACATGGTGAAACCCCGTCTCTACTAAAAATACTAAAAATTAGCTGGGCATGGTGGCGTGTGCCTGTAATCCCAGCTACTCAGGAGGCTGAGGCAGGAGAATTGCCTGAACCCAGGAGGCGGAGGTTGCGGTGAGCCGAGATCGCGCCATTGCACTCCAGCCTGGGCAACAAGAGCGAAACTCCGTCTCAAAAACAAAACAAAAAAAAAACAAAAACAAAAAATGTTTGAAGACCACTTCCCCAGAACAGAGGAGGGGATGAATTTGAGAGTTTATGGTGGCTTCCAGAACCCAGCCCTTGGAGCCCCAGAGTGCCAGCCAGTGAGCCCACTGACAAGACTCTCTGCTCCTCTTTGCCCACAGGTTACGAAGTGACGGTGCTGGTGCGGGACTCCTCCAGGCTGCCTTCGGAGGGGCCCCAGCCGGCCCACGTCGTAGTGGGGGATGTTCTACAGGCAGCCGATGTGGACAAGACTGTGGCTGGGCAGGACGCTGTCATCGTGCTGCTGGGCACCCGCAATGACCTCAGTACTGAGCCCCCCCTCTGCCCACGGCCCTCCCCTGCACCTCGGCCCCCAGCGCCACCCCCGCCTCCAGCCCCACCCCTGCCACCCTTGCCGCCACCGCCACCCACCAGTGACAGCCGCTCTCTGTCCCCTCTAAGGTCCCACTACAGTGATGTCCGAGGGTGCCCGGAACATTGTGGCAGCCATGAAGGCTCACGGTGTGGACAAGGTCGTGGCCTGTACCTCGGGTGGGTGGCGGGATCATGGTGGTGGGTCTGAACTGGGTGGTGAGTACTGGGGAGGCAGCCCATGGCCCTCTGAAAGGTGACACTGAAGCCATTCCGTGTTACTGTGCATTTACTGAGCACCAGCTAGCTGTGTCTGAACCTTACTGGGTGATGCTGGGGACACAGTGGTGACCTGCACAGCCCGGGGCCCTCTACACACAAGGATCACAGATGGGAGAGAGGGGTAAACAGATCCATGATCAAACGGACATCCAGATAATCAGAGCTGGGATGGGGGAGGCACAGGCAGAGCGGACAGGGCCAGGGTAGGAGAAACTGTCACAGGACTGTGGGAGTCCAGAGGAGGCGTCTGACCCAGGCTGAGTGAGAGACGTCAGGGTGGGCCTCCCAGAGGAAGTGATAGAGCGTGGATATACACTAGGTCTCCGCCTTTACAGAGCTCCCGATTATGGGGACAAGGACATTAGGCAAATAGTTATCCTGTATAATCTATCTATTGATTTATTTTTAATTATTTTGGGATTTTTTTTTTGAGATGGAGTCTCCCTCTGAAGCCTAGGCTGGAGTGCTGTGAAGCTATCTTGGCTCACTGCAACCTCCGCCTCCCAGGTTCAAGCGATTCTCCTGCCGCTGCCTCCCAAGTAGCTGGGACTACAGGCGTGCACCACCACACTCAGCTAATTTTTGTATTTTTAGTGGAGACGGGGATCACCATGTTGGCCAGGTTGATCTCAAACTCCTGACCTCAGGTGATCTGCCCACCTCAACCTCCCAAAGTGCTGGGATAACAGGTGTGAGCCACTGCACCCAGACTGTCCTGCATAATCTAAAAGGAAGGCTACACAGTGCGTAACAGGAGCAGTTAATTCTTTTTTTTTTTTGAGACAGGGTGTCACTCCCAGGCTGGAGTGAAGTGGTGCAATCTCAGCTTAATGCAACCTCCACCTCCTGGGTTCAAGCAATTCTCCCACCTCAGCCCCTCGAGTAACTGGCACTACAGTCATGCACCACCATGCTAATTTTTGTATTTTTAGTAGAGACAAGGTTTTGCCATATTGGCCAGGCTGGTCTTGAATCCTGGGCTCAAGTGATCTGCCCGACTCAACCTCCCAAAGTGCTGGGATTACAAGCGTGAGCCATGCCTGACCAGGAGCAGTTCATTTTAACAGCATTTACTGAGCATTTACTGTGTACTGGGTGCTAGTTGAGCACCTTAGAGATGAATGCCACTAAATTCTCCCAAAACCCCTCTAAGTGCTTATACAATAATAACAACAGCTGCTATCTTCTGAGCACCTACTATTTGTAGGTACACAGCAGGTGCTCAGAAGATACCAGCTGTTGTTATGATTGTGTCCCTGGTATAGCTCAGGGAGCTGAGGCACAAGACCAGTTGGCTTGCCAGAGTTCACATAGCTGCGGCTGGCAGAGCTGGGATGTGCACCCAGCTGTCCGTCTCCTCATCTCTGTGTTGCTTTTTTTTTTTTTTTTTTGAGACGAAATCTTGCTTTGTCGTCCAGGTTGGAGTGCAATGATGTGATCTCAGCTCACTGCAACTTCTGCCTCCCAGGTTCAAGCAATTCTTCTGCCTCAGCCTCCCAAGTAACTGGGATTACAGGCACCTGCCACCATGCCCAGCAAATTTTTGTATTTTTAGTAGAGAGGGGGTTTTACCATGTTGCCAGGGTGGTCTTGAACTCCTGACCTCGAGTGTGTTTCATCACACAAATTGCATCCCTGGAAAGGGAAGTCACAAGAGGGAGGGCTGTCTGATGATTGTAATTACGCTCCAGGCAGAGGACAAAGCAAGCAGAGAGGCCTGGAGGCCAGAGCTAGCTGGAGGGTAGGAAGCAAAATCATTTATGGCTTTTTTTTCCCTAAAGCTTTGAAATGGAAAAGTAATACTAAACTTGTGATTTCAGAACGGCTCACTCTTTTTTTTTGAGACAGGGTCTTGCTCTGTCACTCAGGTTGGAATGCAGTGCTGCAGCCATGGCTCACTGAAGCCTCAACCTGGATTCAAGAGATCCTCCCCGGCCGGGCGCGGTGGCTCAAGCCTGTAATCCCAGCACTTTGGAAGGCCGAGGCGGGTGGATCACGAGGTCGAGAGATCGAGACCGTCCTGGTCAACATGGTGAAACCCCGTCTCTACTAAAAATACAAAAAATTAGCTGGGCATGGTGGCGCGTGCCTGTAATCCCAGCTACTCAGGAGGCTGAGGCAGGAGAATTGCCTGAACCCAGGAGGCGGAGGTTGCGGTGAGCCGAGATCGCGCCATTGCACTCCAGCCTGGGTAACAAGAGGGAAACTCTGTCTCAAAAAAAAAAAAAAAAAAAAAAAAGAGAGAGATCCTCCCCACGCAGCCTCCCAGGGCTGGGACTATAGGCATGCATCACCAAGCCTGGCTAATTGTTTAATTTTTTTGTAGAGACAAGGTCTTACTTTTGTTCCCAGATTGAACTGGTCTGCTGTTAGTTTTGTTGTTGTTGTTGTTGTTTTCTCCCATGGCTTTTTCTCTCTCTCAGATGAAGTTTCACTCCATCGCCCAGGCCGGAGCATAGTGATGCGGTATTAGCTCACTGCAACTGCGGCTCCACCTCCCTGGTTCATGATGCCGCGGACCGAGACCGTGGGCTGCAGCAATCTCCTGTCCCAGCCTCCCGAGTAGCTGGGATTACAGGGACCCGCCACCACGCCCCGCTGATTTTTGTGTTTTTGGTAGAGACAAGATTTCGCCATGTTGGCCATTGGCCAGGCTGATGCTGAACTCCTGGTCTCAAGCAATCTGCCCACCTCAGCCTCCCAAAGGACTGGGATTATAGGTGGGAGCCACCGTGCCCAGACTCTCCTATGTCCTGAAAACCGATTTAAGTCTTGCTTCCATGAAAAAGAGAACAAATCTGTAAAATTGATTTAATTTGCTTTCTTTTATTCAAAATTTTTTTGTTTAGATTGTTTTCTTTTTCTTTCTTTTTTTTTTTTTGAGACAGAGTTTCGCTCTTGTTACCCAGGCTGCAGTGCAATGGCGCGATCTCAGCTCACTGCAACCTCCGCCTCCTGGGTTCAGGCAATCCTCCTGCCTCAGCCTCCTGAGTAGCTGGGACTACAGGCATGTGCCACCATGCCCAGCTAATTTTTTGTATTTTTAGTAGAGACGGAGTTTCACCATGTTGACCAGGATGGTCTCGATCTCTTGACCTCATGATCCACCTGCCTCGGCCTCCCAAAGGCTGGGATTACAGGCTTGAGCCACCGCGCCAGCCTGATTGTTTTCTAAATATTAAAGTCTTATGTGTGCCAGGATTTGTTTTTGTTTTTGTTTTTTCACTTATAAACAAAAAACATTAGAGACAAGGTCTCGCTCTGTCACCCAGGCTGGAGGATAATGGCCTGATTATAGCTCATCATACCACTGAGCTTCTGGGCTCAAGGAATCCCCTCACTTTAGCCTCTGAAATAGCTGGGACAACAGGTGTGAGCCATTGAATCCAGCTTAACTTTTTATTTGGAAATGATCTGAAACGTATGAAAAATTGAAAGGAGACCAGTATACCTACCCCTATCTGTTCACAGACACACAGTGGTTTTTTTCTGACCCATTTTAAGTCAGCATACATATATCATGGCTGCTTATTTCAATGTGTAGGTCTTTAACATACTTTTTAAAATTGTTATTGTAAAAATTTTCAAACAGCTGGGTGTGGTGGCTAATGCCTGTAATCCCAACACTTTGAGAGGCTGAGGCAGGTGGATCACGAGGTCAGGAGTTCAAGACCAGCCTGGCCAAGATGATGAAACCCTGTCTCTACTTAAAATACAAAAATTAGGCTGGCGTGGTGGTGGCGCCTATAATGCCAGCTACTCAGGAGGCTGAGGCAGAGATTTGCTTGAACCCGGGAGGAGGAGGTTGCAGTGAACTGAGATCACGCCACTGCATTCCAGCCTGGGTGACAGAGCAAGACTCCATCTCAAAAAAAAAAAAAAAAATTTAAACAGAAAAGTTAGAATAGTTGTGTGAACAACCATATTCCTTTAAAAAAAGTTTTGTTTTTTTTTAATTTGTATCTACTTAACTTATTTTGAGACTGGGTTATGAGACTGGCTAATTTTTGTTTTTTTGGTAGAGACATAATTTTGTTTTGCCATGTTGCCCAGGTTGGTCTCGAACTCCTGGACTCAAGCGATCCACCAGTCATGGCCTCCCAAAGTGCTGGGATTACATGTGAGCCACCACACCTGGCCAACAAACGTATTCCTTATTTCAGAATTGTGACTGTGTTTTATAATTTGTTAACTATGCACATGCACGTACACAAATAGTTTTGGTTTTGGTTTTGTTCTCCTAAACTGTTTGGGTTTTTTCGTTTGTTTTTGGTTTTTGTTTTTTTTTTTTTTTTTTTTTTTTTGAGATGGGGTTTCGCTCTTGTTACCCAGGCTGGAGTGCAATGGCGTGATCTTGGCTCACCGCAACCTCCGCCTTCTGGGTTCAGGCAATTCTCCTGCCTCAGCCTCCTGAGTAGCTGGGATTACAGGCACACGCCACCATGCCCAGCTAATTTTTTGTATTTTTAGTAGAGACGGGGTTTCACCATGTTGACCAGGATGGTCTCGATCTCTTGACCTCGTGATCCACCCACCTCGGCCTCCCTTTTTTTTTTTTTTTTTTTGAGACGGAGTTTCGCTCTTGTTACCCAGGCTGGAGTGCAATGGCGCGATCTCAGCTCACCACAACCTCCGTCTCCTGGGTTCAAGCAATTCTCCTGCCTCAGCCTCCTGAGTAGCTAGGATTATAGGCACACACCACCATGCCCAGCTAATTATTTGTATTTTTAGTAGAGACGGGGTTTCACCATGTTGACCAGGTTGGTCTCGATCTCTTGACCTTGTGATCCACCCACCTCGGCCTCCCAAAGTGCTGGGATTACAGGCTTGAGCCACCGCGCCCGGCCTGTTTTTGGTATTTTTGAGACAGTCACAAATTTAAAATAAGGAATATGTTTGTTGGCCAGGTGTGGTGGCTCACGTGTAATCCCAGCACTTTGGGAGACCAAGGCGGGTGGATCACTTGAGGTCAGAAGTTTGAGAAACAGCCTGGCCAACATGGTGAAACCCCGTCTCTAGCGAAAATACAAAAACTAGCCGGGTGTGGTGGCCGGCGCCTGTAATTCCATCTACACGGGTGGCTGAGGCAGGAGAATCACTTGGAACTTGGAGGTGCAGGTTGCAGTGAGTGGAGATCACACCACTGCACTCCAAAAAAAAAAAAAAAAAAAAATCGGAACACCTGCTCTCTACGAATGAATGACACAATCATAGGGACCACTGATTGTGTTTTACTCTGTGTCACACCTCTTTTTTATTTTTTCTTTCCTAAGACAAGGTCTTGCCTCTGTCACCCAGGCTGGAGAGCAGTGATGTGATCATAGCTCACTGTAGCTTCCAACTCCTGGGGTCAAAGGATCCTCCTGAGTAGCTGAGACCACAGGCATGTGCCACCATGCCTGTCTAATTTTTAAAGTTTTTTATTGCAACAAGGGTCTGGCTATGTTGCTCAGGCTGGTCTCTGTCACACACCTTTTTATAACCACTAACATTACTCAAACTATTTTTTTTTTCTTTTTCTTTCTTTTTTTTTTTGAGATGGAATCTTGCTCTTGTTGCCCAGACTAGAGTACAATAGCGCAATCTCCACCTCCCAGGTTCAAGCAATTCTCCTGCCTCAATCTCCCGAGTAGCTGGGATTACAGGTGCCCGCAATGACACTCGCTAATTTTATATTTGTAGTAGAGACAGGGTTTCATCAATGTTGATCAGGCTGGTCTCAAACTCCCAACCTTAGGTGATCCACCCACCTTGGCCTCCCAAAGTGCTGGGATTATAGGTGTGAGCCACCACATCCAGCCTATTTCTTTGAGACAAGGTCTTGCTCTGTTGTCCAGGCTAGAGTGCAGTGGTGCAGTCATAGCTCACTGCAGCTTCGAACTCCTGAGCTCAAGCAATCCTCTTACCTCAGCTTTCTGAGCAGCTAAGACCACAGGTGTGGATCACCATGCCTGGATAATTTTTTTTTTTTTTTTTTTTTTTTTTTTAAAGACAGGGTTTCACCATGTTGGTCAGGCTGGTCTTGAACTCCCGACCTCTGGTGATCTGCCCGCCTTGGCCTCCAAAGTGCTTGGATTACAGGCTGTGAGCCACCACGCCCGGCCAACCTGGTTAATTTTTAAATTTTTTGTAGAGACGGGTCTCACCATCTTACCCAGGTGAGTCTAAAACTGCTGGGCTCAACTGATCCTCCGACCTCAACCTTCCAAAATGCTGGAATTACAGGCGTAAGCCACTGTGCCCACAGGCTTTGAACAATTTATATCATCCCAGTGTGCACTTGAGAAAACAGGCAGCTGGCCAGTGGTCGATCTGGAACTTGACTTGAGGCAGAACCCAAGCTCTTAACTATTCACCAAACTGCTCCTAAAATATTTAGCATAGTTCTTGGCTCGAGGTAAATGTTCTATAAATGTCAGCTGGTATAGCTTGGCCAAGTTACAGCTTGTTGATAATTCCTGAACAAATATTTAGTGAGTACCTACAATGTTCCAGGCGCTTCGAAGGGCTGGGATTAGAGCAGGAAATGTGATAGAGTCACAGGATAACTCTAGGGTGTGGTGGCAGGGGAAGGGTCCTAGGGAGAAATCAAGGCCCCAAGAAAAGAGACTGGTAAACTGGGCTGGGGAGACGGAGTTTTGAAAAGAGACTGGTAAGCTGGGCCGGGGAGGCGGGGTTTTGAAATTGTATTTTATTTATTTTTATTGATTGACTGACTGATTTTCTTAGAGACGGGATTTCACCATGTTGACCAGGATGGTCTCGATTATCTTGACCTCTTGATCTGCCCGTCTCAGAGGGGAAGAAAAAGAGAGGGAAATGCATCGGGGCAGAGGGATCAGACGTTGCCAAGGCTGGGAGGCAGAAGGCTGGAGCAGTGTAAGGGAGAGTGGTAGGCAGGGTAAGCAGGGATGTGACAGAGCTGATGGGCCACATCAGGTAGGGCCATGAAGACTTTGCTTCTCCCCTGAGTGATATGGATCTATGGATGTGAACTGATAGGGGTGTTCATGGGCTCCTTGGCATGAGGGAAGGAGGGGCTGAGAGACCAGGGAGGAGGCTGCTGGGCTGGTCCAGGCAAGAGGTAACAGTGGACAGGACCAGGCCGAGTGAGAAGAGATCAGATTTAGAATGACAGTGATCAGCAGACAGCTCTTATCAGGGGTGTGAGGGAAAGAAGAGGCCCAGAGGACTCCCCTGTTTTTGCAACAGGAAGGCGATGGTGAGCCATGGCAGGGTTTTGTCCTAGCATCAAGACAAGCCAGCCCTTGGCCAGCCACAGTAGCTCATGCCAGTAATCCCAGCACTTTGGGAGGCAGAGGTGGGTAGATCACCTGAGATCAGGAGTTTGAGACCAGCCTGGCCAACATGGTGAAACCCTGTCTGTACTAAAAATACAAAAATGAGTCGAGCGTGGTGGTATGTACCTGTATTCCCAGCTACTGGGAAAGCTGAGGCAGGAGAATTGCTGGAACCCAGGAGGCAGGAGGTTGCAGTGAGCCGAGATTGCATCACTGCACCCCAGCCTGGGTGACAGAGTGAGATTCTGTCTCAAAAAAAAAAAAAAAGAGCCCAGTCTACGGCCAAGTGTGGTGGCTCACGCCTGTAATCCAAGCACTTTGGAGGCCAAGGCAGGTGGATCACCTGAGGTTGGGAGTTCAAGACCAGCCTGACCAACATGGTGAAACCCCCTTCTTTTTTTTTTTTTTTTTTGAGACGGAGTTTCGCTCTTGTTACCCAGGCTGGAGTGCAATGGCGCAATCTCGGCTCACCGCAACCTCCGCCTCCTGGGTTCAGGCAATTCTCCTGCCTCAGCCTCCTGAGTAGCTGGGATCACAGGCACGCGCCACCATGCCCAGTTAATTTTTTGTATTTTTTAGTAGAGACGGGGTTTCACCATGTTGACCAGGATGGTCTCAATCTCTTGACCTCGTGATCCACTCGCCTCAGCCTCCCAAAGTGCTGGGATTACAGGCTTGAGCCACCGCGCCCGGCCGAACCCCATTCTTTATAAAATTTAAAAAAAAAAAAAAAAAAAAAGGGTTATTAAAAAAATTAATAAAAATAAAAATAAATTAATTAATTTAAAAAGAGCCCAGGCTAACTCTGCCATGTGTCCCCCTCCAGCCTTCCTGCTCTGGGACCCCAGCAAGGTGCCCCCACGACTGCAGGCCGTGACCGATGACCACATCCGGATGCACAAGGTGCTGCAGGAGTCAGGCCTGAAGTATGTGGCTGTGATGCCACCACACATAGGTAAGCGGGGCAGGGACCCGGTGGCACCCTCCTCATCTGCCTGTTCCCTCCTGCCCTCTGGAGATCCACAAGGCCTTCCCTGACCCCCTTAACATTGCAAACCTTCCTATGATATTGCGGCATATATGTTTGGTCTTTGACCCTGTTTCCCGGCATACAACTCCTAAAATCCTTGGAATCTCCAAAATGATAAATGTCTTTTTATATGCTAATGAGTTGACTGATAGCTGGCAGCCCCCAGGCAGAAAGACCAAGGCTGGATTAGAGGGTTGGGACTTTAAGCTCTGGGGAGTGGTGAGGGATTGAAGGCTGAGGGGGATTACCACTGGCTAATGGTTTAATCCATTATGTCTATGGGTTCTGTGCCTCAGCCTCCTAAGTAGCTGGGATTACAGGTATGTATCAGCACACCCAACCAAGGCTTACATTTATAATGTGGGAGATAGAGATTAGGTAGGTAGGTAGGTAGGTAGGTAGATAGGTAGATAGATAGATAGATAGATAGATAGATAGATAGACAGACCAGGTGTGGTGGCTCACACCTGTAATCCCATCACTTAAGGAAGCCAAGAGGGGAGGATAGCTTCAGCCTAGACATTTGAGACCAGCCTGGGCAACATAGACCAATCTCTACCAAAAAAAAAAAAAAAAAATTAGCTGGGCATGGTGGCACACACCTGTGGTCCTAGCTACTGGGAGGCTATGGCGGGAGGATGGCTTGAGCCCAGGAGATGAAGGCTGCAGTGAGCTGTAATAGAGCCACTGCACTCTAGGCTGCACAACAGAGTGAGACACTGTCTTAAAAAAAGGAAGGCCGCCACCCCTGTAATCCCAGCATGTTGGGAGGCAGAGGCGGGCAGATCACAAGGTCAGGAAGTTGAGACCATCTTTGCTAACACAGTGAAACCCGGTCTTTACTGAAAATACAAAAAGTTAGCTGTGCACGGTGGCATGCACCTGTAATCCTAGCTAATAGGGTGGCTGAGGCAGTAGAATCGCTGAAACCCAGGAGGTGGAGGTTGCAGTGAGCTGAGATGACGCCACTACACTCCAGCCTGGGTGACAGAGTGAGACTCCATTTAAAAAAAAAAAAGAGAGAGAGAGACAAGATAGATATTAATATTGGGTAGTGATTAGTTAGATGAATAAATACTAAAGCTCAGGAAAGGGAGTGGTGGAGTGCTGTTTTTTTAGCTCTCTAAGGAGATAGCTTTATGCGGTGAGGGAGCAAGGCGAGTGAATATCTGAAGGAAGCAGGATCTGGGGTGACAGGACAGCAGTGCAAAGGCCCTGAGGCCACCACTGGCATCTCCTCCACATTTGCCTGCCCACTAGAAGAGCAAATCTGCTTTGCCCTCTGCCTTCTGAGGACCCTGACGGGAAGAGGTCTGTAACTTACAGGTTCAAATACGGTTCAACATTTTGAGTTCAATTAAGGGAGACTTAGCAGGACCCTACTTGGACCAGAATTCTAAGCTTTGAATCAGCAGTGAAGCTGTGTGGTGGAGAAGCTGAGTGAGAATCCCATCCCCAGCAGTGTACTGTATGGACTTCAGTGAGTTTTTCCTCAAGTCTCTCTTTTTTTTTTTTTTGAGATGGAGTTTTGCTCTGTCACTCAGGCTGTAGTGCAATGGTGCGATCTCGGCTCACTGCACCCTCCACCTCCCAGGTTTAAGCGATTCTCCTGCCTCAGCCTCCCAAGTAGCTGGGATTACAGCACCTGCCATCATGCCCAGCTAATTTTTGTAGTTTTTTTTTTTCCAAGTCAGAGTTTCACTGTCGTTGCCCAGGCTAGAGTGCAATGGTGCGATCTCGGCTCACCACAACCTCCACCTCCCAGGTTCAAGTGATTCTCCTGCCTCAGCCTCCTGAGTAGCTGGGATTACAGGCATGCACCACCACACGTGGCTAATTTTATATTTTCAGTAGAGATGGGGTTTCTCCATGTTGGTCAAACTGGTCTCTAACTCCCAACCTCAGGTGATCCACCTGCCTCAGCCTCCCAAAGTGCTGGAATTACACACATGAGCCACTGTGCTCGGCCCTAATTTATGTATTTTTATAGAGACAGGTTTCACCATGTTGGCCAGACTGGTCTAGAACTCCTGACCTCAGGTGATCCGCCTGTCTCAACCTCCCAAAGTGCTGGAATTACAGGCGTCAGCCACCGTACCAGGACACATGGTCCTTCTTGACCTCCCAGGTTTAAAGTTAATACTCAGAGGCTGGGAGTGGTGGCTCATGCCTATAATCTCAGCACTTTGGGAGGCCAAGGAGGGTGGATTGGTTAAGACCAGGAGTTTGAGAGCAACCTGGCCAACATGACAAAACCCCGACCTACTAAAAATACAAAAGAATTAGCTAGGTGGTCGTGGCGTACTCCTGTAATCCCAGCTACTTAGGAGCCTGAGGTAGGGGAATCGCTTGAACCAGAGAGCTGGAGGCTTCAGTGAGCTGAAATGGCGCCACTGCACTCCAGCCTGGACAACAAAGCAAGGCTCGTTCTCAAAAAAAAAAAGTCAATAGAGATCAGGCCTGAGAATTATTTAGCACAGAGTAGTATTTTGAAGGATTTTTCTTCTAAGTGGCTTTTTGTTGTTGTTTGTTTTGGCGGGGGCGGGGGTGTGTGTGAAAACTTTCAAACCTCCAGAGAAGTGGAAAGCATTAAAGGATTATGAATACACAGAAACCCTTGATTTAGGTTCAGTGGTCAGCATTTTGTCCTGTTCTCTCTCTCTCTCTCTCTCTCTCTCTCTCTCTCCACCCCCTCTCCGTGAATATACGAATAATTTTGCTGTGTATATTATGTAAAAATATATGCATCTATATTTGGCTTCATCGTTTGAGAGGAATTGCTACATTGTCACGCTCCATTCCTAAATACCTCAACACAAAACATTATCACACCTAAGGGAAGTGACATTTACTCTGTCACACCATTTAGCATCCACTCTATAGTCAAATTTCCCCAATTGTCGGGCCAGCGAGGTGGCTCACATCTGGAATCCCAGCACTTAGCAGACTGAGGCGGGCAGATCACTTGAGGGCAGGAGTTCGAGACCAGCCCGGCCAACATGGTGAGAGCCCCCCCACCCCTGACCCCCATCTCTATGAAAAACACGAACATTAGCCGGGCATGGTCGTGGGCACCTGCAATCCCAACTACTTGGGAGGCTAAGGCACAAGTTGCTTGACCTGGGAGGTGGAGGTTGCAGTGAGCCAAGATTGTGCCACTGCACTCCAGCCTGGGTGACAAAGCAAGACTTTGTGTTTAAAACAAAACAAAACAAAAACTTTTCAACCTGCCCTGCCCCTCATCAGGAGGATCCAGATGAAGCTTGTGTATCAAATTTAGTTGCCATGTCATGCCACCTTTAGTCTGGAACAATCTCTCATGCCTTTTTCTTTAAATTTCTCACAAGGCCGGGCGCGGTGGCTCAAGCCTGTAATCCCAGCACTTTGGGAGGCCGAGGCGGGTGGATCACGAGGTCAAAAGATCAAGACCATCCTGGTCAACATGGTGAAACCCCGTCTCTACTAAAAATACAAAAAATTAGCTGGGCATGGTGGCGCATGCCTGTAATCCCAGCTGCTCAGGAGGCTGAGGCAGGAGAATTGCCTGAACCCAGGAGGCGGAGGTTGCGGTGAGCCAAGATCGCGCCATTGCACTCCAGCCTGGGTAACAAGAGCGAAACTCCGCCTCAAACAAACAAAAAAAATTTCTCACAACATTAACCAGGCCAGGTAACTTTAAATGGCCCACATTCTGGAATTTTCTAGCCGTCCTGCCACAAATTCAGAATAAACGTGTTGGGCAGGAATGCCACATGGGTGAGGGTATGTGTTCCTGGGATTACCAGCGTGAGCCACCACTCCTGGCCACATGGTCCTTCTTGATCTCCCAGGTTTAAAGTTAATACTCAGAGGCTGGGTGTGGTGGCTCATGCCTATAATCTCAGCACTTTGGGAGGCTGAGGAGGGTGGACCGCTTAAGACCAGAAGTTTGAGGCCACCCTGGCCAAACCCTGTCTCTACTAAAAATACAAAAAAAATTAGCCAGGCATGGTGGCATGTATCTGTAATTCCAGTTACTCAGGAGGCTGAGGTAGGAGAATCACTTGAACCCGGGAGCTAGAGAGATATGGTCTCCCTCATCAGGCTGGAATGCAGTGGCACAATCTTGGCTCACTGCAACCTCCACCTCCCGGGTTGAAGAGATTCTCCTGCCTCAGTTGCCCAAGTGGCTGGGACTACAGGCATAAGCCAACACACCCAGCTAATTTTTGCATTTTTTGTAGAGATGTGGTTTTGCCATGTTGGCTGGTCTCGAACTCATGAGCTCAAGTGATCCTCCCACCTTGGCCTTCCAAAGTGCTGAGATTACAGGCGTGAGACACCGTGCCCAGCCAGGGCAGGGGATTCCTGTCTGCTATGTCGCTTGCTGGGTGCCCAGCACCTGGCCACATAATAGGTAATCAATAAGGATTTCTTGCATGAATAAAACAAAGGGTACAGAAGAGCACCTGCACGTGGGAAGTCCATTCTTGGCTGTCACGCCACCCAGGCTGGGCACACAGTAGGCACCCTGGGAAGGTCTTTCTGGGGGTCGAATTTTGCAGGAGGGGAAAGGTGTCTGCTTCACCCAGCCCCTGTCTTCTTACTTCACAGGAGACCAGCCGCTAACTGGGGCGTACACGGTGACCCTGGATGGACGAGGGCCCTCGAGGGTCATCTCCAAACATGACCTGGGCCACTTCATGCTGCACTGCCTCACCACCGATGAGTATGACGGGCACAGCACCTATCCCTCCCACCAGTACCAGTAGCACTCAATCCCCATCAGGGAGGGTGGCATTCTGGGACATGAGGAGCACAGGAAGGAGGCAATAAATGTTGAGCCAAGAGCTTCAAATTATTCTAGAGAACCCAACTCTGTGACTCCTCGTCTCTCTGCCTCTGTCTATTTCAGTGTGTCTGCCTGCCTATGTGTAAGATTTTCATTCATTTATTCAGTAGCAGTTTATTGAATCTGGCCAGGTGTGGTGGCTCATGCCACGCTCTTGTTACCCAGGCTGGAGTGCAATGGCGCAATCTCGGCTCACCGCAACCTCCGCCTCCTGGGTTCAGGCAATTCTCCTACCTCAGCCTCCTGAGTAGCTGGGATCACAGGCACGCGCCACCATGCCCAGCTAATTTTTTGTATTTTTAGTAGAGACGGGGTTTCACCATGTTGACCAGGATGGTCTCGATCTCTTGACCTCGTGATCCACCTGCCTTGGCCTCCCAAAGTGCTGGGATTACAGGCGTGAGCCACCACGCCTGGCCCATTAAGACCCCATTTCTACAAAATTATCTTTAAAAACTTAGCTTGGCATGGTGGTGTGCACCTGTAGTCCCAGATACTCAGGAGGCTGTGATGGAAGGACAGCTTGAGGCCACAAGGTCAAGGCTAGCCACTGTACTCCAACTATAGGACAGATCAAGACCCTGTCTCTGAAAATAAAAAACGTTTGTGTTTTATTTTGGGGATTTATGCACGGAGTGGAGCACCAGAGAGGTAAGAGTGTTGGGGGCACAGTTGGGTGTGGGTTTTATGAAGCTTCCTTTGGCTACTCTGTGAAGACGGATGGGAAGGGCACAGGAGTGGAGGCTCAGAGCCCAGGGGGAGTTCAAGTTGGAGCCTGAGCTGTGAGGAGGCGGGGAGAGAGAGGGTGGGGGGAATGCCTGGGAGTCTGGGTGGACAGTTGTTGAGGGATGGAAGGGAGGCATCAGGAAGAAGCTCAGAGCTGTAACCTGGGGACAGAATTCCAGTAGCACTTTGGGGAGGGAGGCTGAGGCTGCAGTGAGCCGAGGTACGCCACTGCACTCCAGCAGACACGACAGAGTGGGACCCCCCTCTCAAAAACAAAAACCCAAATGCAGTAGGGCTTTCCTGAGTTGGGGACCCTACAGGAGAGCAAATTTCGGAGGAGGAAGGGGAAGAACTGCTCCTTCCTAATTATGTCCTATTTTGGGAATCTACTGTACCTTTCTTTTGTTTCCAACGACACCTTCCCCAGGCCTGGGTGAGCTGAGACGCTTTTTTCTCCCCACCTCTAACCCACACCACCCACCTACCTATGCCCCTCCCTCTCATCCTCCCAGAAATCCTTTCGTCTTACATTGCAAACTACAGAATGACTTGGTTGGCAAACTCCAACCAGCAAGAACTGGTCTGAGGAGCCTTAAACCTCCCTTCCCAGAGGTAGCCTGGAGAAAACTGCCTTCTCCCCTTAGGGAAACTCGTGGTAGGGGTAGGGCACTAGCAGTGTTTTCTTCCTGCCTTATTTCTCTTTGTCACATTGCTAAGCATTTAGCAAACTTTCACTGGCACCTGCTATATGTCCAGCCTGGTGCTAGGTGCTCCTGCAGACCAAGCGGTGGTTGACAGAGATATCCTGACAGTCCAGGACTGGGATGGCAGCACAGGAGGCCATGAGATCCTAAAATGGATCCTGACCCAACCTGGACTACCAGGGAGGGCTTCTGAGAGGAGGAAACCTTTGAGATGAGTTCTAATAAGAAGCAACCTGGGAACTGAGGGTATATTTTCAGGATGGAGAAACAAGTTTAAATATCCAGAGGCCTTCGAGGCGCGGTGGCTCATGCCTGTAATTTCAACACTTTGGGAGGCTGAGGCAAGAGGACTGCTTGAGGCCAGGAGATCAAGTCAACCTGGGCAACACAGGAAACGTGTGTGTGTGTGTGTGTGTGTGTGTGTGTGTGTGTGTGTGACGGAGTTTCACTCTTGTTGCCCAGGCTGGAGTGCAATGGTGCAATCTCAACTGACCACAGTCTCTGCCTCCAAGGTTCAAGTGATTCTTCTGCCTCAGCCTCCCAAGTAGCTGGGATTACAGGCATGTACCATCACGCCTGGTTAATTTTGTATTTTTAGTAGAGACGGAGTTTCTCCATGTTGGTCAGGCTAGTCTCGAACTCCCGACCTCAGGTGATCCACACGCCTCAGCCTCCCCAAAGCGCTGGGATTACAGGCATGAGCCACCAGACCCGGCTTTTCTTTCTTTCTTTCTTTCTTTTTTTTTTTGAGATGGAGTCTCACTCTGTCGCCCAGGCTGGAGGGCAGTGGCGCAATCTCGGCTCATTGCAACCTCCACCTCCCGGGTTCAAGCAATTCTTCTGCCTCAGCCTCCCAGGTAGCTAAGATTACAAGCGTGCGCCACCGCATCCAGCTAATTTTTGTATTTTTAGTAGAGATAGTTTCAATATTGTCGGTCAGTCTGGTCTCGAACTCCCGACCTCAGGTAATCCGCCCGCCCGCCTCAGCCTCCCGAAGTGCTGGGATTACAGGCGTGAGCCACCACGCCCGACCAAAAAAAAAAAAAAAAAAAATGTGTGTGTGTGTATATATATATATATATATATATATATATATATATATATAATTAATAATAAAGATTTAGAAGCCTTTTGTTGTCATGTTTGAGAACTTATTACATACCTGGCATTGTTGTAGACACTGGTTAAGGCAGGGAAGAAAACATGCAAAATCCTTCCGTTTTCGTGATGGGGGAAGGGGAGCTTGAAGCCATTTTAGAAAAACGATGTGACTCAGTGGGGCAGGAACCAGGAGAGCGCCTCAGGCCAGGTCGTGAGGGGCTTTGTGGCAAAAGGAAGGAGTTTGAAGTTTGTCCACGAGGCGGTAGGAAGCCATGAACAGAAGCGGAGCAGTCATCTTTATGGAGCGGGGAAGGAGAGACGGTGTCCCAGGAGGGACCACCAGAGGACGTGCTGAGAAAACCAGGGGATTGAGAAGGGGCAGAGGGGTAACGTGAGCGGGGGAGGCAAGAGAAGGGCAGTAAGGGGGCGGAGCTCTAGTCGCCTAGGCAACGCGGGCCGCACCACACTATTGGCTGGTCTTTTGTACGTCATCCCCAGCGTCCGCCCTCGGAACCCCCGGGGCACGGCCTCTTCGGGCTGCTAGACCCCGCCCTCCTGGACATCGGGGTGGGGAGGGACATGTGAGCCCCTCTGGCTCCGCGGTAGGGTCCAGGCCTATCAAAAAGGGACCAGAGGAAGCAATGGTGACGATCTTGGAGCAAGGACAGTAGCTGAGTGGAAGGAAGCGGGTCTGCTGGCTCCGCCGCCCTCCACCCCCGAGGCGCTGCTCCGCCCCCTGCCAGTAGCACTCCTTTAAATGGCTCAGGGCGCTGGGGAAGGGGAGGCGGGTCCGGCGTCTCCGGGCACGGACCAGTGGCTCCGCCCAGCCAATCGACGCCCCGCGGCGGGCAGGCCTCCAGCCAATCGCGGCTCGGCTACGGGGCAGGAATGGGTGGGCCCGAGACCAGACGGAGAGGCCCCGCCGCGGTGAGCGAGGCCACATCCCGTCACTGGTGGGTCCCGGCACTGGCTGGTCACGACGCTGCGGGCGTTCCTGAAGGTGGTCGGGGCGAACCTGGCAGCTGAGGTGAAGAGCGATCGCCTGGCTTGGGAATCTACCTTGGGCTGGACGAGGGAGAGGCGCGCCCCGGAGATTTGCGGAGGCTGGGTCTGGGTGAGACCCGGGGTCGGGGTCTCAGATTCAGGGTGTTGATAGGGACGGTCTGGGGACCCGAGACTGAGTTTGAGACCCCGGAGGGGAGGCAAGGTTGGGGCAGCATTTTCAAGTGGAGGGAGTTTGAAGTTGGGACGTGGGGCGTTTGAAGAAGCGAGAGAACAGAGGGGAGGAACTTTTGAGATGGGGAACTTGGAGATTCGATTCCACTTGGGTCTTCGGGACAGGATGAATTCGGGGCGTTATCGTGTTCTTGGAAAAGGTATGAGATTTGGGAGTGAGATCCTGAGCATTTGGAGAAGCCAGATAGAGTCAAGGATTCTCGGACTCCAAGACTCACTGGTGGGGGAAAGAAAGGGGGTTGCCGGAAAGATTTCAGTGTTCGGGTCTTGGAGCCGGACAGCGAGTTTGGAGGTGAAGTTCAGGGGCGTTTGAAAGTCAGGAGAATAGAAGTGGGAGGAAGTATCAAAATTAGGATACGTAGTCTCCCGAACTAGATCGTAGCATTGTAGTCATTGAGCGATGTGTTCGGACTTGGATCTCTGGACCCAAGGGCAGTTTGGGAGGAGAATCGGGGACTTTGAAGGAACGGAGGCACCAGGAGAAGGCAGATTTAGAGCCGGAGTGTGGGGTGGGGGAGGGGTGTTCCGGGCGTGGAGCTCAGACTCGCCGCCCCGGAGGCAACGGAGGGCGGGGCTCGGCGGGCGCCTGCAGCTGGACGTCCGGGTGCCCTTCCCCCACCCGCCCTTGCCCCTGTGCGCATGCCCTGAGGGAGGGCGGGGGAGTGGGTTCGTCCCCTGGAGGAGCGAAGCCCTCTGGGGATTGTGGTGCGTGCTCGACGTCTATTCGTGTACCTGGCGGCTGTTGGCCCCCGTTTCCCAGAAGACCTTGGGCCAAATTGGGGCGTTTCTGGATGCTCTTAAAGACCCGTGAAGGGGCGGAGCCTTGCAGCACCGAGGTCTGATTGGCTGGGTCCCCTAGAGGCGGGGCTTGGTCTGAGCTGAGTTCTAGCAAGTTTTCCTACGGGGCGCGCTTTGGGGGAAGCTGAAAGCACAGCAGCGGGAATGAGGCAGGCCCCTTTCCTACTCTTGGGAGCGCTCCCAGTCGGTAAAGGAAGAGGGCATAGACCGAAATATCCTGACTGTAGAAGAAGAATCTCAACATTCAGGTGCTCCAAGAGGCTCGAATATAGTAAGCACTCGGTAAATCTGTTGGGTGAATAACTGGCAACTAACTCTTGATCGAGGCCGGCTGTGGTGGTAATCCCAGCTACTCAGGAAACTGAGGCTAGAGGATCCATTGAACTCCGGACTTGGAGACTGCCATGAGCTATGATCACGCAGCTGCACTCAGCCCCGGGTTAGACCCTGTCTCTAACAAAACAAACACAACTCTTGTTCATTAAGCAGTTCCTGTGTGATGAGCTCTATGCATACTTTTCATCTCCTTGACAGCGGTGGTGAGAAGTATTTTTTTAAGGTCCCCATTTTACAGATAAGGAACCTGAGGCCCTAAGAGGTAATTCACTCAGGTCACTTCCCACAATCACGCAGCTGAGCGGTTTCCAAGACAGGATTCAAATTTAGGGTTCCCTACTTCTAATCCAGGTCTCATTTGCTCCACACTTATCTTGCGTGCTCCATGTTTGAAGAAATGAGTATTGTAGAAGAACAGTTTTAAGGCTCAGAGGAATTTGAGTTAGGATCCGTACTTTGCAGATGAGGAAATTCTCATGGATGTAAATGCACTACTGCTTGAGGCCACAACAGGCAAGTAAGTAGGATTTAAATCTAGCTGTACTTAAGTCCAGATCTTATTTTCTTTTATTTATTTATTTATTTATTTTTATTTTTATTTTTTATTTTTTTGAGACGGAGTTTCGCTCTTGTTGCCCAGGCTGGAGTGCAATGGCGCAATCTCGGCTCACCGCAACCTCCGCCTCCTGGGTTCAGGCAATTCTCCTGCCTCAGCCTCCTGAGTAGCTGGGATTACAGGCACGTGCCACCATGCCCAGCTAATTTTTTGTATTTTTAGTAGAGACGGCGTTTCACCATGTTGACCAGGATGGTCTCAATCTCTTGACCTCGTGATCCACCCGCCTCGGCCTCCCAAAGTGCTGGGATTACAGGCTTGAGCCACAGCGCCCGGCCTTATTTATTTATTTTTGAGACAGAGTTTTGCCCTTGTTGCCCAGGCTGGAATACAATGGTCAGATCATGGCTAACTACAACCTCTGGCTCCCGGGTTCAAGCGATTCTCCTACCTCAGCCTCCTGAGTAGTTGGGATTACAGGCACGAGCCACCACGCCCTGCTAATTTTGTATTTTTAGTAGAGATGGCGTTTCTCCATGTTGGTCAGGCTGGTCTCAAAACTCCTGACCTCAAGTGATCCACCCACCTTGGCCTACCAAAGTACTGGGATTACAGGCGTGAGCCACCCTGCCCAGCCCTTATTTTCTTGATCTCTATGTACTCACCTCCTTAACCTTGTAGGGTTCAGACAGCCTTCATTTTATAGATGATTAACTGAGATTCAGATGATTAAAAATCACCAACAATGGGCCAGGCGTGGTGGCTCAAGCCTGTAATCCCAGCACTTTGGGAGGCCGAGGCGGGTGGATCACAAGGTCGAGAGATCGAAACCAACCTGGTCAACATGGTGAAACCCCGTCTCTACTAAAAATACAAAAAATTGGCTGGGCATGGTGGCGCGTGCCTGTAATCCCAGCTACTCAGGAGGCTGAGGCAGGAGAATTGCCTGAACCCAGGAGGTGGAGGTTGCGGTGAGCCGATAATGCGCCATTGCACTCCAGCCTGGGTAACAAGAGCGAAACTCCGTCTCAAAAAAAAAAAAAAGAAAAAAAAAATCACCAACAATTCAGTTGGCCTGAGAAGGTGGGATGTGAGCCAGCAGTACAGTGCCTGGTGTCTGACATGCTCCTGTGCCCCTCTTCTCTCCACAGGGCATCATGGTGGGAGGCTTGAAGCGGAAACACTCTGATTTAGAAGAGGAGGAAGAGGAGAGGTGGGAGTGGAGTCCAGCAGGCCTTCGGAGCTACCAGCAAGCCCTGCTCCGCATCTCCCTAGACAAAGTCCAGCGCAGCCTGGGCCCCCGAGCACCCAGCCTCCGCAGGCATGTCCTCATCCACAACACCCTCCAGCAGCTGCAGGCCACACTTCCCTTGGCTCCTGCCCCTGCCCTGCCCCCCGAGCCCCTCTTCCTGGGCGAGGAGGATTTCTCCCTGTCGGCCACCATTGGCTCTATCCTCAGGGAGCTGGAGACCTCCATGGATGAGTCCCCTCAGAATCCAGTGGCTCCCTTGAGCCTCCAGAATGAAGTGCCACCCCAGCCTGATCCAGTCTTCTTAGAAGCTCTGAGCTCCCGGTACCTGGGGGACTCTGGCCTGGACGACTTCTTTCTGGACATTGACACATCTGTGGTGGAAAAGGAGCCTGCATGGGCCCCACCGGAGCCTCCTCACAATCTCTTCTGTGCCCCAGGTTCCTGGGAGTGGAATGAACTGGATCACATCATGGAAATCATCCTGGGATCCTAAAACTGTCATGCAGGGGATCCTTCCTGTGTCATCTTCAGGGGGGCTGGATCCTTGAATGCAACTCTGGGTGTGTTTTTGTGGGGGCTCTAAGCATTGACTATGGCCTCCTTTCCTCCCATTTCAGGGTTCCACAAACTGTCTTGCATGTGTGCGTGTGTCTGGTTACCCCAGCCTTCTGTGAAGGTGGGTCTTCTTGAATTAATTTATCTGTTCCAAATGCCTTAATGAGACTCTGTTCCTGGGAGTCTGATTTTCCACTTACACATATCTTCTGCCTTTCCCGCTCTTTCCCACTCCCCTGTGACCACTGGGGCCTCAGGGAAGAAAGAAAGCTGGGCCTGTAGAAGGATGGCAGGGATGTGCCGCCAGGACTCTGCAGAAACCCAGGACTCTGTAGAAACCCAGGCTCGGCCTCTTGCACCTTGAGGGGTGGGAGGGGCTGGTCTCCTCCCTCCAGGCTGAACCCCACTTCCTTGGCAGGACCACAGTCTCAGTGGCCTGATTTCAAAGCCTGGCCGGACCACGTGCAATAGGGTGGAAACCAAACTGCTCCATGCCACATTATTTAAAAAGAAAGGCAGAATTTGTGGTGGCTTTTTTTTTTTTTATTGTTTGTAATTTTTTTTTTAATAAAAGTATTTTGGAAGGAGTGATGTTGTCTTAAGTTTCTAAACTTCACTGGGTCAGTGGGAGGGACCTAGTAAATTCCTAAACATCTGCCCCACTTCCCTGCATAGTTGGGGCAAGTGTCCCATCGTACATGACATTTATTGGGTGCTTATTGGCTGGGTGCTCTAGTTCCCACTTGTAATCCTAGCACTTCGGGTGGCCAAAAGTGCTAGTATGGCGAAGCACCGCCTCTACAAAAAAGTACCTTGGTAGGGTGGCACACACCTGTAGTCCTAGTTACTGGACTGGGGAGGCTGAGTTGGGAAGACCACCTGAGCCTGGGAGGTTGAGGCTGCAATAAGCCATGATCGCAACACTGCACTCCAGCCTCAGAAAAATGAGTGTGTGTCAGGAGCACTTTTCTAGCCACTTGATTTGAATTAAGTCCTTTAATCCTCATAATTACATGGAAGTAGGTACTGTTCCCACTTTTCATACAGGAGGAACCTGAAGTTCAGAGAGGCCAAGTCACAGAATTCAGGGCCACACAGCTTAGGAAGAGCAAGGACCAGGGAGCTAGGTTGAAACTAGGCCTCCAGAGCCTTGTCCTTCACTATTACAAATGGTGCTGCTTAGACTCCAGCCCCGTGGGTAGACACAGGAGGGAGAAACTGAGTTACATGGAGTATGTATCACTGAATGGGCTGCTAAAGCCCAGAGGGACAAGAAATGCCCAAAGACCCATGTACTAAAAGACCTTTTTAGGAGAGTTGGCTAGTAAGCAGAGCCCAGATTAAGAGTTATGGTGCTAATGTTTTTTGTTTGTTTGTGTTTTTGAGACGGAGTTTCGCTCTTGTTACCCAGGCTGGAGTGCAATGGCGCGATCTCGGCTTACCACAACCTCCACCTCCACGGTTCAGGCAATTCTCCTGCCTCAGCCTCCTGAGTAGCTGGGATTACAGGCACGCGCCACCATGCCCAGCTAATTTTTTGTATTTTAAGTAGAGACGGGGTTTCACCTTGTTGACCAGGATGGTCTCCTGATCCACCCGCCTTGGCCTCCCAAAGTGCTGGGATTACAGGCTTGAGCCACCGTGCCCGGCCATTTTTTTTTTTTTTTTTTTTTTTTTTTTTTTTTTTTTGAGACAGAGTCTCACTCTTGTCACCCAGGCTGGAGTGCCTTGGCCCCATCTCAGCTCACTGCAACCTCCACCTCCCGGGTTCAAGCAATTCTTCTACCTCAGCATCCTGTGTAGCTGGGATTACAGGCATGTGCCGCAATGCCTGGCTAATTTTTGTGTTTTTAGTAGAGACGGGGTTTCACCATGTTGGCCAGGCTGGTCTTGAAATCCTGACCTCGTGATCTGCCTGCCTCAGCCTCCCGAAGTGCTGGAGTTACAGGCATGAGCCACTGCGCCTGGCCTGAATTTTTTTTTAAGTAGAGACAGTTTGACCATGTTGGCCACGCTGGTCTCAAAACTTCTGACCTCAAGTGACCCGCCTGTCTTGGCCTCCCAAAGTGCTGGGATTACAAGGCGTGTGCCACTGTGCCTGGCCTGTGCTGATGCTTTATTTGGGAGGTGCAGGCCCAGGCTGCTGAGATCCAGAAAAGGAGAACGGAGGTGAAGGAGGCAGTAAAGTGATACCTACCTGTACTGGCTGTGCTTTTACAGTGGTCTTTGAAGAGATGAAGCAAGTAAGCTTACACAGCATTAGGGACTTTTCCAGAGGGGTTGCAAGGAGGAACCACCCCTGGGTATAGTCCACGGGACAAGAAAGAGTGGGGATTTTGCTTGTGGTTTCTGGGTCAAAGACAGATTTCTCAACCTGAAAGGCGTCCTTGTCAGAAAGTGAAAGGATACCTGAACGGGGCTGCCAATCAGAGAGAGAGGAATGAGGTGGCCCAGGGGATCTCAAGAAAGCAACCAGGTATGATGTTTGCTGTGGGCTTATAAAAAATAAAAACAGGCCGGGCGCGGTGGCTCACGCCTGTAATCCCAGCACTTTGGGAGGCCGAGGCGGGTGGATCACGAGGTCAAGAGATCGAGACCATCCTGGTCAACATGGTGAAACCCCGTCTCTACTAAAAATACAAAAAAATCAGCTGGGCATGGTGGCATATGCCTGTAATCCCGGCTACTCAGGAGGCTGAGGCAGGAGAATTGCCTGAACCCGGGAGGCGGAGGTTGCGGTGAGCTGAGATCGCACCATTGCACTCCAGCCTGGGTAACAAGAGCGAAACTCCGTCTCAAAAAAAAAAAAAAAAGGCCTGGCATGGTGGCTCACCTGTAATCCCAGCATTTTGGGAGGCCAAGGTGGGCGGATCACCTGAGGTCAGGAGTTCGAGACCAGCCTGGCCAACATGGAGAGACCCCAGCTCTATAAAAATGAAAATAAAAATAAATAAAAGCAAGCCACCAGGTCTGCATTGCAATATGACGGCAATTGAATCACGTCTTCCTCCTTGAAACCTCCAGTGCCTTTTTTTTTGAGACAGGGTCTAGCTTTGTCGACCAGGCTGGTCTCAAACTCCTGGAATCAAGTGATTCTCCCGTCTCAGCCTCCAAAGTGCTGGTATTACAGGCACGAGCCTCCACACCCAGCCTCCAGTGACTCCTTGTCACACTCAGAATAAAACTCCAACTCCACTAAGACCTAGAAAGACTGACTTACTCTCACTTTAGACAATTTTCTCAGTTCCATCTCCCACTCTCTCCTTCACTCAGCTCCCTTGACCCCAGCTCCTTCTCACCCCAGGGCCTTTGCCCTTACTGTTAAATCTGCCCAGTCAACATTTTCCCCAATAGCTTCACCAATCCTAATATCTCCTTCTGAGAGAGGCCTTCCCTGCCCTTCCTAGCTCAACACATCCAGGTGGGTCACCACTCCACCACAACCTGTTTGATTTTCTTTTTTCTTTTTTTTTTTTTTAGATGGAGTCTTGCTCTGTCACCCAGACTGGAGTGTGGTGGCGTGATCTTGGCTCACTGCAGCCTCCACCTTCCAGTTCCAGCAATTCTCCTGCCTCAGCCTCCTGAGTAGCTGGGATTACTGGTGCACACCACCACGCCTGGCTAATTTTTGTATTTTTAGAAGAGAGGGGGTTTCACCGTGTTGGCCAGGCTGGTCTCGAACTCGTGACCTCAGGTGATCCACCCACCTCTGCCTCCCAAAGTGCTAGGATTACAGGTGTGAGCCACCATGCCCGGCCCCTTGATTTTCTTTTAGTAGCACCTACCCAATTTCGAGTTACTTATTTTCCAACTCTAGGTAGCCTCCTACTCCTGGGAACTCTGGGAGTTGTGTTGGTCTGTGCCTAGAACTATGCTTGGCACAAGTGCGCTCTCAAAAATTATTTGTTGTTGAAAAACTCGGCCAGGTGCAGTGGCTCATGCTTGTAATCCCAGCACTTCGGAAGGCTGAAGCAAGAAGATTGCTTGTGTCCAGTTCAAGACCAGCTTGGGCAACATAGGGAGACCTCATCTCCACAAAAATATAAAATTAGCTGGGCTGGTAGTATGCCCTTGTAGTCCCACCTACTCAGGAGGCTGAGACGGGAGGATTGCTTGAGCCCAGGAAATAGAGGCTGCAGTGAACAGAGAGAGCGCCACTGCACTCCAGCACTCTATCAGTGTGACAGAGTGAGATCTTGTCTCAAAAACGAAAAAATAAGGAAAAAAAATAAACTCTAGACTTAGCAATGGCTAACCTTCCCTCCCAACTCTCTGAACTCATCTCCCCTACATACCCTCACTCCTATACTCCCATCACACCATTCTCTGCTGTTCCTTAAATATACCACACTCCAGCCGGGTGCGGTGGCTCAAGCCTGTAATCCCAGCACTTTGGGAGGCCGAGGCGGGTGGATCATGAGGTCAAGAGATCGAGACCATCCTGGTCAACATGGTGAAACCCCATCTCTACTAAAAATACAAAAAATTAGCTGGGCATGGTGGCACGTGCCTGTAATCCGAGCTACTCAGGAAGCTGAGGCAGGAGAATTGCCTGAACCCAGGAGGCGGAGGTTGCGGTGAGCCGAGATCGCGCCATTGCACTCCAGCCTGGGTAACGAGAGCAAAAACTCTGTCTCAAAAAAAAAAAAAAAAAAAAAAAAAAAAAAAAAAAATATATATATATATATATATATATATATATATATATATATATACACCACACTCCAAACTGAAGATGTGGAGTAATACCTGCCTCACAGAACAAAGTGTCAGAGGGAGCCTGAGGTATACCAAGGACTCCAATAATGGCTCAGATTTACTGAGTGCCTGTTGTGGGCCTGGCACTCTTCAGCAGGAACATGAATAAAATAGGCAATCTCAGCTCTCATGACGTGTAGCCATGGGGGAAGAGTGAAATACAGAAGAAAAATAATGCCAGGCACAGCAGCACCTGACTACTATCCTAGTAACTTAGGAGGCTGAGGCAGGAGGATCGTCGGAGGCCAAGAATTCAAGACCAGCTTGGGCAACATAGTAAGACCACATCTCTAAAACAATGGAAAAAAAATTAGCTGGGCATGCTAGTCCCAGCTATTCAGAAGACTTGGGTGGGAGGATCCCTTGAGCCTAGGAGTTGAAGTTACACTGAGCTGTGATCACAACACTTCACTCCAGCCTAAGTTACAGAATGAGACTAATAAAACAAACAAATAAATTAAAAGGACCGGTCATGCCTGTAATCCCAGCACTTTGGGAGGCTGAGGCAGGTGGATTACCTGAGGTCAGGAGTTCAACACCAGCATGGCCAACACGGTGACACCCCATCTCTACTAAAAATACAAAAAATTAGCTGGGTGTGATGGCAGGCTACTCGGGAGGCTGAGGCAGGAGAATAGCTTGAACCTGGGAAGTGGAGGTGATAGTGAGTCAAGATCACACCACTGCACTCCAGCATCGGAAACAGAGCAAGACTCTCTCAAAAATAAATAAATACATAAATACATAAATAAGGACGGGTGCTGGGGCTCATGCCTGTAGTCCCAACACTTTGGGAGGCCAAGGTGTGTGGATTCTTTTTTTTTTTTTTT